GAAGACTGGAGAGGAAAAAATATGTCCTGGTCGGGATAGAAGTAATCTCTGGACCAGTACAGGCAAAAGCAGTAGCGCGAGCAACAGCAGAAAACACAGTTCACAGACTGAAGCTATGGCTTCAGCTTCCTCCCTAAGCCAAAATCAATACGGTCTGGCAACAGAAGCAACGTCACTGACAGCGTGGTCCAGGAATGGGCACAGGCTGAAGGGATAGTGTGGGTGTTCCATACCCCCTGCTACCCCCAGGCTAATGGAATTGTTGAAAGAACAAACCGCCTCCTCAAGCGGTTCCTGAAGCCTCAGGAACCTGGTTGGCTAGACCGACCTGAGGATGTGGTGAGTAATGTAAATAACAGATGGGAATAAACTGTTGCCCATGACTAATTACTTTCTGCCCTAAGGCCCCAATGCTTGCCCCTAGTGGTAAAGGACTGGACGACCCCAAGAACCCCTCACACTATCCAGGACAGCCAGTACTGCTGGACCCACCTACAGTGGGACAAGTCCCATTAGTATTAGAGTCCCTGTTAAACATCTGTGTGTGGGAAGCGATAGATGCGCATGGCAAAAACCATAAAGTCAGCACCTGAGGGTTAGGACCTTCTTTGGTCCTAATTTTGTTTTCTTTTTCAGGTTTGGTGGCCATCGAGAAGTGAATGTTTCTCACCGCTACACTTGCAGCCATCTGTATAATTGCATTATTATTGTTTATTGTGTATATTGTTATAATTGAAAAAGATGTACTGGAAACTTGTCTGTTACATCTACTGTTTGTTTGGTTTTAATGGAAGAATCGGAGAGCAAAATTTAGCACGGGAACTGATTTGAGGATTTGTGCAGGTATGGAATCAATCTGATCAGGGACTCTCTATAGCTCTACCCCACTCGGCTGAGCAGGGTCTGAGATTTTTTAAAACACCTGTGAAAAATATAACTGATTTTATCAACCACACCACAACTCAAACTTGGCCCTATGTCCTTACTCCTAACAAATGGAGTTTGAGTAGATCACTTAAGTGGAGAGCTAATCATCTCCTTACTGAGGGACATAGAGAAACCGTTCAGAGGCCAACAGGGAACATCATGCTGTTTTAACGACACTTATTTTGCCTATTTTAGTAACACAAACAATGATTTTTGGGGAAATAGCAAATGAAACGCCTCTGACCCTCAAATGAATTATACCTTTTCCTCAAACACAATTGGTGAATCTAGAGCCACTGAATTTACAAATGCCTCTACCCTTCCTGGAATGTATGGAATTAGTAGCACTGATAGCTATGCAGCTCCATGTTCATCTTTCCCTTTTGATCCTGTGTTTAACCCTATCAAGCAACCAGATTATTATGAAGCAGACTCTGTAATGAACGCTGCATTACCCTGGTGTATTGCACCACCCCACATTTTAGGCACTTTTCCACAGAATCTAACCAACATAGGGTAGGTGTGGTCTAGAAGAGAACCCCTATTAAAACCCCTTAAGTTTGCCACCAATCCAAGACACACCATTTCCTCTCTGGTCACCTGCAACCACATTATCAGTTGTACAACCAGTCCTGGTGACCCTCCTGGTTAACAGAAGGGATCCGCACCCGAATGCCAGATACGTGTTTATGTTGGGGATATCCCTCATATGGATTTAAAATTGAGACCCACATTGTAACAAAACTGGTAACAGTTCTATTGATAGGACACGTGCCAGATATTGTGGGGTACCACGCACCCATTACCCTTTACAACACATTCAAGTGTCATCCAAATCTCCTTTATATTTAATAAATGTATAATGATACTCTGCCCCTTTTAGATTGGCATGGGGGTGTTCTAATGGACAATTTTATTCTCGATTACAATTAGAAACCCATGCAGGATTAAGATGTGGAATAGTTTTACCCTCTCTCTGTCCCAACAAAACATTTACATTTGGTCATAAACCAAGGCAAAAACAGGACCTAGAGAACACATCGCAAGCCAAAGAATGGATTCATGGATTAGAGGAACCAACACATTGGACTCTTGGCCAACAGATAATGTTCAGCCTGCAGGCCTTTTTTGGCCCTGCTGCAATACTCCAAACCCATCACTGGGCCCTAGAAAACTTACCTTGGCAAGTCCATGTATTGTCAGGTTGGACTCGGTATGCTTTTGGAGAACTAAACAGACAAATGCAACAATTATCCAAAACGATGTTACAAAATCGCTTAACTCCTGATGTGTTACTCTTACAGAACAAGGAGGATGCGGCATGTTAATCTCACAGATGGAGAGTGTTGTATTACCATCCTCAACGCCACCACCTCTATTGAAGAAGCCCAAGCCAAGATGAAGGAAACTGCCAATCAAACCAGAGAATTGTTCCAGGCTCTCCAACCTAAAGACTGGTTTACTGGACGTGATCCCAGTGGACAGCTTACATCAGTACTCCGTAACTTAGGACTCAAGGGGTGGGAAAGTGGCTGGTACAGATAGGAATTATGTGTTGGATTTGTATTTTTAATGATTAAATATGTTAACCCATCTTAACCCATCTCATCTTCCCTTTCTTCTTACTTCTCCCTCTGTATGCTATGTAAGAATCACCACCCTCAAAGCTGCCTGTTTGAGCCACAGGGTGGTGTAAAGCCCCTGAGAAGAAGATGATCATGCACCATAGAACCTACAACAGAATGTTTGAGCCATGGGGTGGTGTAAGGGACAAAAAGAACCATCGGTTTGTCTCTAACATTTCAGTTGTAAGAGACTGCAATTGTCTAAGGATTCCCTTGCTGATAAGAGTTAATGTCTCAGGCACTGGGATAGAGGGTTGGCAAAAGGGAAGGAGGTGCAGGGCAGGTTCTGCATAGCAACATGGGCAGCAATGAAGGGCTCACGACCACCTGCTGCCCGCCCCCCCCGCTTTGGTACCTGCATGGAAGATCATGAACTTTCTGGAACCAGAACCACGTAAATCCTCAAGGAGCCATAGCTGGGGGTAGGAACTAGACTAAAGAAAGCACAAACCCAAAAGGACCAGTGTGCACCCACCACTGGAGGATCTGCACAGAACATCAGAACGTTGCTGGATACAAGGGTGATGATAATTCTTTTATTTTCTTAACTCTCTCCCTCATCCTTTCCCCCCCCCCATTCTTTTTTTCCCTTTCATTCTTTTTCTCTCATTATTGTTTCTCAAAAGTATGGCTATTGCTGTTGATTTTATCCAAAGTTCCATGGGTACAGTTATTGCTGTTTCCAATTTAATAAGCCATACCCATTCTCCTTATAATTCTCCAGTCTGGCCAGTCCGTAAGCCTGATGGATGGTGGCATTTAACAACTGATTATAGGAGGCAGAATAGTAACGCCCTGCTGCTAACAGCTGCTGTCCCAGGTACAGCCTCAACAGTAACAGCAATGCAGGCACCTGCCTGCTCGTGGATGGCTGCCCTAGATACCAAGATGTTCTTCACGATACACCTAAGAGAAGAGGATAAACCTGTTTGCCTTCTCTTGGTAGGAGTGCAATGTACTTTTAATTGACTATCTCAGGGATATAAACAGGGAAATAATCCCCTATCACTGTCCACAATGCCTTAGCTAAACTTCTTGATACTGTAGAAGTGCCATCAGGCAGCCATGTACATCATCAGCCCAACCTGTAATGGTGAAACTGCCCAACACTGGCATTGTCCCATGACACAGGCAAAACCTAGAGGTTTATCTGCCTGGGGAGCCCTGGACAGGAGTGGAAAACCCCACAGTATTAGTGCTTGGTGGAGAATTCCCAACTTCTAACCCTGAAGCCCAGTTTCAAAGCCAAGGCCAGTTTTGTGCTTCCTTACAGGACAATGGAAAAGTGGACTGCATCACTGCTCCTACAGGCAATGGTGACAACCAGGGCCTGGATGACAACGTGGCAGCAAGTATGATAGCAGGAGTTGCCTGAATGCTGAACTTACTGATGATGTCACAAGGTGGGGCTTGGAGCAGCACTGTATTATGCTTTGGTGCTCCACAGGGAACTCTTAAACACGGTGCTGGGTAGAACACTAATGCTGGATGCTATCAAAGGAGAACGCTGTATGTGGAATTTTTAAGCCTGTTGACAGACGGATGCTGCACTCACCTCTAGAACACGTTCATGCTACCTCAGGATCAGACCAACAGAAGGGACAAAAGACCCAGAAGCAGTTGTTGTTGTACTGGGAACTAATTGCTTGGGTACAGTTTTGATGTGTTTGGATGTTCTTTAATTATGATTGTAGTTATGATTATTGCAATTTGGATTGTAATAAGCTGTCTCAGGCACTCAGTGGAGAAATCTGCACTAACAGCATTCTCCTTTAGCCTGCTCACACATTAGATATTAGAATAATCGAGGAATGATGATCCAAACAGGTGCCAAAGCTCACTGAGACTGTGCTCCCTTTTAACTTTGGAGGCAAGAGGTGGTACAGTCAGTGTGCCACCACTCCACAGAGGCCAGCCAAGTCATAACTGTGGTCACAAGGGGGACTGTGTGGCAGATGCACCCCCACCCTCCCTCAAGACAGGGACTTTCTGCATGTTGAAGCCCGACCTTTGCATGCCCTTGCTTTCCTGGGCTTTTCTTTGCTACCTTCCTTTTCCATGCACTCATGGGGGCTGTTGCCAGTCTCACAGTTGCTAGAGGACAGGCCCTGGACAATCAGAACTGACCACAGGTCAGACTCCACTCAGGTATAACAGACTGAGTCCTGCTGGGTGGGGGGAACTCTCCCCATGGGCTGGGACACCACCCAAGGTACCTTCCCAGGGACTGAGCCCTCCTCTCAGAGGAGAGCGAACACACATTTTGAGTCATCATTCTCGAAGAATATTTAGAAAAAAACTTAAGAATCCTTAAGTCAGCTGCGTAGTAGTTTATTACCAACCAACATCTGAACCTGTGGTTTAATATTGTTTGTCGGAGTGCTAAATAATTTTGGTTAGAATAAACCCCATTTGGGATTGGTCTGTTTTGTGGGTGCCTCAGCAACAGTAACACTTAAATACGATTAAGACTTCAATGCAGAAATTTGGTTTCTTAGAAAGCTCGAGGGAGCTTTAGCTTCTCAAACTTACAAAAAGGCAAAACTGTTTCACAGATACAGTCCACTGGAATCACCAACACTGGACAATTAAGTACTTTAAGAGTCCTGAGATAACGAGGAATCCTGGTATCCTTTAGACAGTTTTCTGTTGTCCTTTCTTTCCAATGAGAGACTTGTGGATATGTGGTATTACACCTAAGAAAGAGCAACAATTAAGACCATGTTATTTCTCTTCACCCATTTTCCTAAACTTTGCACTTCAAATAAAGCAACAGCATTAAGCAGCCTCTAGTCTGTTAGAATTCTTGCCACCCAACTCTTTATGAAAAGTTATCAAGCAATTTACATACCACCACCAGCAATTGTTGCCTTAATGAGAGAGTCCAATTCTTCATCTCCTCTAATTGCAAGTTGCAAGTGACGGGGAGTAATACGTTTCACCTTCAAGTCTTTGGATGCGTTCCCTGCGAGCTCGAGAACCTGAGGGCAAAACCATTGTTAAACTGAGCTACACAAGTCAAGTGAGACCAACTGCACAGCCCTGGCTATTGTAATCTCTACACCAAATACACTATTAGTGACACCAAGACAGCACATGATGCCTCTTTCGAAAGGGTTCCTCCTTTGGACATCTGCATTTAGTTTTCTCCCAAGAGCAGAACAAGTTTTACAGCAGATAACCACATGCTATAATGGTGCCATTTAGTAAAGTTACTTCCACTTCTCCTGTAAGTCACAGCTATTTGATCTACACAAAATGCAGAGCAATAGGTCCCATGCATATTTCATGGTCTCCTGTTGATGCGTGCACTTAAAACCAGCTCAAAGCAAATGAACAGGTCACAGGTCAGTTCAAATTGGCAAGATACAGCAGCCTCTGGTCATTATGCTGTTTTGGAGTTAACCAACTTGCTTGCACCCCTGGCGGGAACTTTACCTCAGCTGTCAAGTACTCCAGGATTGCAGCACTATACACAGCAGCTGTGGCTCCTACACGTCCATGACTGGTAGTCCTAGACTTCAGATGCCTGTGGATGCGGCCAACAGGGAACTGAAAAGTAACAGAAGTATTAATAGGTTGTGATGACAGAGACAGACAAAGAAAGCCACTACTCTAAACCACATGCTGGGCAACAGAATCCCAGTGGCAGAAATACAGCTGGTACTAGACCACATTTCAATACTTGAGAATCCAGCTAAAGACACTGCATGCCAAGTTCACATCAGCAACTTGACAATTCTAACCACAAGCAGCAGTCACAGTCACAAGGGAATTCTCTTCCCTCCTGCACAAATATGCAAAAGGTCTAAAAATACTCAAGCCAGACTTTGACACACTCAAAGATCAAACAGATCCTTACACCATTATTCTGGTCAACAGACAGAAGGGCAGACGATGCAGGTTTCACAAGGTAGACCCAATCGATGGAAGGCCAACCCGACTTCCATTCACCCACAGCCCAGTCCCGGCTCACCTGCAGCCCGGCCCGCTGAGAACGGGACACTGCTTTGGTCTTGGTCTTTCCAGAGTCTTTCCCAGCTTTACCGCCAGCCTACAGCAGAGAGAGGAGCCGTGTGGGAGCTGGGGCGACGCCCGCCATCCCCC